CCCCCCCCCCCCCCCCCCCAACTCGCAGTAACCTCTGAAGCAAGAGTGATAACGTTGGGAATGTCAGCAGTATCCCAAAAATATTCGTCTGTCCAAATCCCATGGTTGTGTGCAGAAGTAACTGGGATTTACTGAATCATGGGGCTAAAACTTAAGAAGTTAATGTGCAGATACCAAAACAGGTTCTTTTTGATGTTTATAGTCCTCCAAATATTTTCCTTCTGGTTTTCCCAGACCTCTGGAACGACTTGCACTATTTTGGAAGCTGCCAAACATCAGGACCTTGGGATACCCAAGACATTAACTTTCTGCCATCAGGAAATGGAATCCACAAAACAGACAGTAGGTGCTATGAATAAAGCTTTGCCTGAGGAAGGTTGGATTAAAGTTGGAGGTAAACCATTTATCTTCTTTTCACTTAGCTTTCTCTTGCCCTTAAAATCTACAATTTTCCCTGAATTTTTGTGTTTTCTAGAATGAATATGATTTTAGTGAATCATATGAGGTGTGGTTTTTATGTCGGAGATGTGCTATAGATGATAATGGGACTAGATTTCTCAAAAAAAGTTCAACACCTGTGAGTTTAGCTATACTTCCAAAATTCTTTAGCACTTCTAACTTGAAATGAGAAAAGCTGATGTTTCTTTCTACACTTTTTGACCCCAAAGTTGATACAGCAGATCCAGTCAGTATCCAACTGAAGAATATTTAAGGGACTGCCTCATGCTTATGAAAGGGAGGCATGATCTCAGTGGGTTCTCTGGGAAAATAGAAGTTAGGTGGATTTTGAAGCAGCAAGCAGTGCCTTAGGGCTTCTGAAGGCCATGCCTTGCTGTAAGAGTTGCTCTAGGTTGGCAATAAACCTTCGAAGATTATTACACGTAAATAAAGCAACAACAAATTTTTTTTTTTCCGTGATAAGTGGGTTATAAATAGGTTCTTCTTTTCCTCTTTATTTTTTTCCAAGAAGACACCTTATGCAAGCAAGAGGTGAAGAGAAGCTGCAGCTGCGTAGGCCCATTGAATCCTAACGCAGATCGCAAACCTCTTGGCGAAATTCAGAATGTATGTGACAATCGCCAGAGCAGCACCTCAGCCCAGGGCCCCTGGCAGCCAGCACGGCCCAGGCCGAGCTCACAGGCACCACCTGGCACACAGGAGGGGATCACTCAGCGGAGGGAGAGACACAACCGCATGGAGAGAGACAGGAGGTAATTTCTGTGGAGGGTGGCAAGGCAAAGTTTTTGAAACTGAAAATATTCGGGTCATTATCCAGAGTAAAATGTAAATTTGACATGCTTTGTTTTACCTTGAAAAAGCAATGCTTTTGAAGCGTTGAAAAATCGTGGTGAGGGTTTGGTGCTTGTTAGATGAAAAAACATAACGAATGTTTCATTGTAGTAGGCTTTAGGGGGTTTTTTGCACTATAAACAAAAAGATTTTGAAACATTTAACCAGTTCTATAAACTTGCATATAACACAACTAATATACAAATACAAAGCTTGTGGCAAACAAAAAGTCGTCTCCAAAGTCCATGGCTTGTAGCACATGTGAATAGTCTTCCTTTTTTTTTTTTTTTTTTTTTTTTTTTTTACTGCTTTTCCTTTTTTTTTTTACTGCTTTTCCTTTTTTTTTTTTAATTTTTTTTCCTTCCTTCTGGCCCATGGGTTATAACCTTTGGTATTTGCCTGCAGGCGCAGAATCCGTTTTTGTTGTGACGAACTGAATCTTCTAGTTCCATTCTGTACTGTTGATACTGATAAAGCAACAACTTTAGAATGGACAACCTCGTTCCTGAAGTACATTCAGGAACAGCACGGGGATTCGCTGAAACAGGTTTTAAATCTAATTTCATTTTTGTTCTTGATAAAAATGTGAAGTGTTTTATCCTTACGTAGCTAAAAGTCTGGGGAATGTTTGTGCTTGATGCTGTTTGTGAAGAACCATTGTATCCTTGAACATTCCTTTACTTTTTTTTTCTTAATAGCTGGTTCAGTTCAGTAGTGTGACATAGGGTGTCCTCAGTCAGGGTTTTCAATAAGATTTTAAATTATTATTTTTTTTTAGTTAGCCCAGTTCCTGTGTGTGTTACTATCTGAACAGCAATGTAGAATTGAGGTCCTCTTCAGCCATTCTTCCCCTCCCCTTCATTTTCTCTACTTTCCACGCTTTTCAGAGCTGCCTTCTAGTTAGTTTTCATGAACTAGTAGTTAAGGGATGGGATTCATGCTATCTCAAAGTGGGTGAGAGTAGTAAAGGGTTACGTGCCCTTTAAGCAGCTCCTGTGCTACCACACCAGCAGTTGCAGCCCCAGAGTAATTCTGGCTCTGCTGAGTATCTTCAGGGTAGCTGGAGTGTGTGTGGAAAAACCTGCTTGCCCCTCAGCACTGCCTGCTAAAGGTCTTTTTTGTTTGTTTTTTTTTTTAAAAATAAGACACTAGTGAAACAAAAACATAGATCTCAGTTATGTTTAATGTAGATATTTACTTGTTATTTGTCTTTTGTATGTTGATTTTTAGGAATTTGAGACTGTGTTCTGTGGCAAAACAGGCAGGAGACTAAAAATAGCAGGATCAGAGTCATTTGTAACGCATCCAGTGCAGGAAAACAAGCGTGGCTTTGGAGACCAAGTAGTCTGAGCTGACCGCCTTGAACTGTACAAGTGTGGCTAACAACAGCCCAAACTGTATTTTAGTTTCTTTGTCTACAAGCTGAATATGAATTACAAAATATAACTTGTAAAAATATATAAATAGCACTTTAAAGAAAATATTCTCTATTCAAAATGGAAATGAAAGTTAAATACCAGCAAGAGAAATCAGTGCTGTCAAAGGAGCTTTGGGACTAGAAGCTACAAGAAAATGTCCTGACAGCTAAGTATTTTTCCCCTTTAATTATAAGAAATTTGCTCTTTTTCTGTTCGTCGTTCGGCTTTGGGGTTTTTTTGTGGTTTGTTGTTTGGTTGTTTTTTTTAAAAGATGATCCAGTACAGTTAAAAATAGGTGTAGAACTTCAATGTGTTATTTTAATGACTAGATGCAAATGTACTCTTCAAATGTAAAAAGAAATTAAAATTACCATAGTATAATGCCCATTTTTTTTCCATTAAAAATTTAAGTTCTATTAGTTAATTGAATAAGTGCATAGTTTTTAAACTATGCTGATACTATGAAGTTTACATTTGCCAGAGTATTTTAACACGCTCAGCCCTGAAGAGTGCTGTTAAAATTTTTTTAAAATACAGTACTACTTTTAATGTCTATCACACAACATTCTACAAGTTCGTGTATTGTTACTTTAGTCCAAGAGTGGCATATTGTAAACAGTAGATTATTTAAGTGCACAAACTATTTTCATATTTAAAGATAAATAGGACTCCTTTGTTCATAGGCTTTAGCATATAGGGCAGAAATAGAATAGTGTGTGAGCTGAGAGTGGTTTTACTAATTTTTTTTAATAGATGATGCTAGCAGGTTTTAAAGTACAAAAAGGTCACTGAAAATAAATAATGTTTGGAATCACGGATATGGACAATTTTGCATCATTTTATTTCCAAACAAGCCTAGTATCACCACTTCTGGAAAACAGAGTTCAGCTGAGTTAATCTGATGTTTATAATGACACTTACAACATCACAAAGAAAAGGTTAAAAAAAAAAATCTCATTTTATTTTTACAACAGTTCATACAGGTGTTTTTGGCTGGACTTCAGAAGAGCATCCTTTCTTACTTGGGGTTTCATTCACAATTACTGTGCAAATAGCTTAAGTAGAGGTCGTGAAAATGCTGTTACTTGATTTCCTTTATTATCATATGGAAATATACAAAAATTCTCCCTTGTAAATTAAAATATATACATTACACCTTTTGCAGAATTAGATTGCAAGAGGATTACTCTTTACTAGTTGAGGAGCAATCTGAAAACTGATAACTGACAGCATATACATAAACAATGGTCTTTACTTAAGCCAGAATCTTAAGATAATAAAATACTGGATGTTTAAATACCTAATTTCACTGATGAAAGCAGCAGTTAGGTGCCTGAATACCTTAAGAACATGTGTTTTAGTGCACAAACCTGCATAACTGAAGTCAGGGGGGCAGCACCAAGGAATTCACTTGACAAGGCTCAGATGTTTATAGAAAAAAAAGTCGTGATCTTTAGTACACTGTTAGGAGGGTGATGGTAAAAAAGGAACAATGCTTCCTCTTGCAGGTCTCTCAAACAAAGGGAGAAAGGGAAGGTGAGGTTGTTTAGCAGTAAAAATGCTGGAAAATAATTGTGGGGTAGGAGAAAATACTCATAAAGCATCTTTTAATTAAATTTTCATCTGATGCTTTCTTTTCCATAGAACTGTGTCAAAGTCTCCACTTAATACAATAGAAGGAACATCTGTCCATTTATCACTAGGAGGATTCTGTCTGTTTTCTTACAATGCACCATTTATTTAAATATTCAGTCATTTCTCCACTTCTTGTACTGTTTTCTTATGATTTTTTGGAAGTTGATGCTCCAACAGCTCCCATGCAAGCAGATGTGTCACATATTCCTGGAGTTCCCTGAGCCCCAATAGCACCAGGAGTCCCAGGATCCCCTGGAAGACCGGGTTCACCCTGAGCACCGTCCCGGCCATTTTTTGTAATTCCAGGTACACCAGGTGGTCCTAAACAAGAAGGGGGAAAAAGATGACATGAATTATTTCTTCTTCTTTTTTTTTTTTTTTAATATATGTATATATGTGTGTTACTTTTAGAGTTCTTAAAATACTTTGAGTGTCTGTACATCAGACTTGTTCTGGCCTGTTGAATACAAGGTGTTGAATAAACTTAGTCTGAATCTGGAGTATGTGCACTGGATTTTTTAGAGAACCTCTGGCTTTACTGGAACTACCTCGGTATGGCTGAAGGTGGATGTTTATTACTGCACTTTTGTAACCACCTGTGTCTGCTTTGACTTTTGCTGACCCCTGCAGAACAGGATTCCTTCTCAGTACTGCCTCAGTTAGGATCTGACACCATGAATAAGAACAAGTCATTTGTGACCGGAATTATTTTATATCATGCCTGAATAATTTGCTCAAGGGATGTCCTGGATGCGTGACCTTGCAGCTTCCTTCTTGTGACAAGAGGAGTGCTCACAGCTGTCCCTCCTCCACAGCCACCAGCTTGTTCCTCAGGCACCTCCTGAGGCCCAACTGTCATTAACATTCCAAGGAAGGGGAGTCAAGAGAACAACCACGATACAGAACATCTCCCTGACATTACAGATGAGTTTCCTTCGTGTCTAATTTCAAAAACGTGCTCACTGTGAAATACATAGTTGGTTTAGTGGCAAAAAGAATTTCTGCTTTGGGTGGACTCAAGCTATTATTTCCTTTTTCCTTCAGATGCCAAAATAATTCACAAAACACTGATTTCTGTAAGAGCAGTTTTCTAAATTACTGTGTATGACTGTGTCTCCCTGAGGGGCAGCTGTAGCAGGTGGTCTATAAACCTGCATTTCTGTCTTAGTTATGATGGAGAGATGGTGCCTGATTCTTTTTATTCATGTAAGTGATGAACTGTGTCTGCTGTTCCTCTCCTTTACATTTCAGGAGTAGGACAAATGCTCTCAATATCTAATATGTGAAACACGGTGTCTTTTTACATGCTTTGGAAAAGAAAACATTTATGGATTAATGCATAATTATTTTATGGAAGAATCTGACGACTGGGTGCAAATATTCTGGTTTTAGGAAGTGATATGGGTGCAGAGCCTGCTGTTCGTGCCTATAGCTTATTTATTGTACAGATGTAATCACAATTAGAAAAGCTGCTTTAAGAGGTAAGCAAAATAAAGAATCTTCTTCCAAGTTTCTAAGAGATACTCATTAATTTGCACAAATTAATCTTTGAATCTTTTGAGAAAGCATTTGTGACTTGAGGAACTGGGATTATAGGTACGGAGCAGTGACACCACTGCCTCTCAAAATCATTACACTAGGAACTTATATTTGTTTCTGGTAAAAATGAAATGTTGTCCCTGATTTCTCTTGTTTGATCCAGAAACATGAACTGTATTTTGGAGGACTGTAGCTGGTGGCCCAGGCCGCAGCTCTCACTGCAGCTGTTCTTTAAGCAGAGCATCAGAGGCATGTCCATGAGGAAAGCAGGCAGCAAGCACAATCCTTTTGCCTTAATCCGGAGCCAGAGCCTCACAGGTGTCACACACCTTTAAATGAACTGCTACACTACTTGTTAATTAACTAGTTAGTTACTGCATATGAAGTACCACTGGAAAGAATAACCTCCAGCCTCATGGGAGTAGTTAAGAAGGGTTCTGATGTCCCAATCTATAAAAGCTCCTGACCTTTCACAGCCATTAGTGGAAGAAACCAAGAACAAATGAAGAGCCTGCCTGTCCCAGCAGCCTTTTCTCAAAAACAGCCTCCAAAACATTTAGGACTAGACAGGAGTGGTGTGAAGAGGGGATGTGCTGATTAAGTTCTATTGTTCAAACCATCTGTACCTGCTGTACCCACAAGGAAAACCACTCTGCAATCACAGGGACAAAGTGATTATAATATACTGCCACCAGTACACAGGGCTGTCCCTTGTAAGCTTTTACTTTAGTCATGGTTTATTAAATTATTTGCACAACCTTACCTTGAAGTCCTTGATCACCATCAGGCCCATCAATACCTTGACCAACGGGTCCTTTATCTCCCTTCTCGCCCGTGTCACCTTTAATCATAAACAGACAATTTCAACAGTGAGTTGTGTGCTGCAGCTGCAGCCAGGGACAGGAAGGGGAAAAACAAAAACTCAAAATCCTCAGGACGTTGCCAGGATGTTTGCTTACACTGCATCCCTAAAGATGCAGAACTGCTCCCTGGAACTCCACCCGCTGCCCAAGGCCTCATCTTTTCTCCTCCGCTGCTGAAATCGGTACAAGTTTGCAATTTATTTCAGTGGGCGTCAAAGAGAAGCAGGTTGCTTTAGTCTTACCTCTAGGACCAGGATCACCAAGTTCTCCTGTTGGGCCTCTGTATCCGGGGGGCCCACGAGGACCAGGATGCCCAACGCTTCCCGTGGCTCCAGGAGGACCCGGGGGACCAGCTGGGCCAGGGCGACCCGTCATTCCCGGAGACAAGGGCTTTCGCAGATTAGCAGCTAACTGTGCAATTTGATCTGAAAAGAACAACGAAAAAAACCTGCGTGTCTGACCTTCTCAACTCTTTGCTTGGCTGTCGTCTGCCACCGCGTGTGCTTCGTCGAGCGAGCAGCTGAAAGCAGCACTGCCTGCCTGGGAGATCTCGCTCCCTGCCGCTCCTACACACCTACTGCTCCTGCAGAAGGAAACACTGAATCTCTCCTCAGCTCATCTGTGGCTTTTAGGTTGGGTTGGTTTGGGTTTTTTTTTTTACATTTCCAGAAAGGGAGATTTTGGTCGGAAATCTGCAGGTTTTTAAGCCATTGATACTTCCTAAACTACTTTAAAAAGATGTTGAGTATTCTAGAAAACAATCAGTAAAAGACATTTTCTGAAGCGAGATTTCAGAGTTTTAACTTCATCCCAAATGGTGAACGTGACCCCTAAGCACAGCGCAGTAACTCCAAAGGAAGATGAAGAACCCCTGGGAGCCAGCCCGGATCGTGCCCCAGGAGAAGGGGGTGCCACGCGGGGGACAGCTGAAGTTCAGAACCACCCAGGCTGGGGCAGATGCTCTCCCTGCCTGGGCCTTGGCCACACATGTGCACAATCACAGAATCAAGGTGACCTCCTGAAGAATCTCCTGACATTAAATATATTTTTTTCATATTAAGATTAAGAAAGAATAATAAATCTCAGGAGCCACCTTATGTTCAGGATCTACTCATCTTCAGCTAAATACGGTAATTAAAGTCAGTTTTCCCTCAGTAATACTCACCATTTATCATTTCCCCACAGAGTTCTCTTATATGTTGTTCACTGGCCTCTTTGCCCTGCAATTCACAGAAGAATCTGTCCTTACACACACCATGTTATCAGTAATCATCCCTGACAGAAGCTTCAGGACACAAAACACCTTTCCAGCAGTTCAGTAAGCAGCAGGGGATCCCACAGGACAAGGAGGGGGTTTTCCCTTCTTCAGAAAATGACAGCTTCAATTCAGAA